CCATCTATTTGCCAGGAAGTGAGAGGACTGGATGCCATGATCTTAGTTTTCTTAATGTTGAGTTTCAAGCCAGCTTTTGCACTCTCCTCCTTCACTCGCATCAAGGGGCTCTTTAGTTCCTCTTCACTTTCCACCATTATAGTGGTATCATCTGCATATCTGAGGTTGTTGATATTTCTCCCAGCAATCTTAATTCCAACTGGTGATTCATCTAGCCTTGCCTTCCTCATGATATGCTCTGCATATACGTTAAATAGGTAGGGCGACAGTATATAGCCTTGCCGAACTCCTTTCTCAATTTTGAACCAATCAGTGGTTCCGTGTCCAGTTCTCACTGTTGCTTCTTGACCCGCATATAGGTTTCTCAAGAGACAAATAAGATGGTCTGGTACTCCCGTCTCTTTAAGAACTTGCCACAATTTGTTGTGATCCACACAATCAAAGGCTTTAGCATATTCAATGAAGCAGAAGTAGATGTTTTTCTGGAACTCCCTAGCTTTCTCCATGATCCAGCGTACGTTGTCATGATTTGGAAGTAATACTTCTGTTAATGCATCCCAAAATAGCATTTGCACTTTTGGCGGCTGCATCACATTGCTGGCTCATGTTTAACGCACCCTGTGCACACTGCATCATAAGTAAGCCCATGCTTCTCACACCACATGTTTGTCTCCTACTTCCACCAATTCATTGTGTGTAAACATCCTGGTCAGTTGGGATCTATTGTTGTTCAAATTTTGCATTCTCCCCTGACCGTAAGTATGCTGAAACAGGCACCGAGTAAGCGCAAACACATACTGCTTACCCACAAGCAGAAGATGGAAATATGCAAGAGGCTTGAGAAAGGTGCAGCGCTCATGGAGGAATTTAATGTTGGTTCATCAACTATGTATGACATTCAGTCTCAAAAGATAAAAGTTTGTCTTTGTCTTAATTTGTTTTTAAATATTTCAATATTAATATCAAGTCAATACAGAATTTATGGTACAGTACTGGGTATAGTATTAGTTGGGCCTATTTTTAATAGCAACTCTCAAGCAACCAGAAACTACATTTATCTGGCATCTATAATCCCCATGGATGTCAGTTAACTGTGAGTCTACTGTTCTTTGTTGCAAGATCGCTATAGGTCAATAATATCTACCAAACTATTCATTCCTTTTAAAAAGATCCACTTACCAATACAGACATCTATCTTGCCTTTGATAGCAGCTTCATGCAGAGGAGTGTAGTTCCAGTTGTCCCTGGCATTTGGATCTGCACCCTGACACAGCAAGAGGCTAACTACCTCAGCATGACCAAAAGAACAAGCATTATGAAGAGGTATCAGTCCGCCATCGTCACGAGCATGGACATTGGCTCCTGTCTGTAATAAGTGCTCCACTACATCCTTTCTTCCAAAACCTGCAGGAAAGAAAAATCAGTGTTGGTAAATCATTCAACTATTTTTAAAATACACAAATATTTATTGTAGGTTACATATTTTCCATGATATACAGGAGTACAGCAAACTAAGATGAATGGCTTCATCTTTATAAAACACCTACTTCAAATAGCTTGCTGACAGAATAGCTCTTTCTTATTAATCTACTTTCCTATTACAGGCAGTCCCTGGGTTACGAACAAGTTCCATTCCTGAGAATGTCTCTAAGTTGAATCTCTATGTAAGTAAGATCATGTACATACAGGTCATATTTAGCATGAGTCACCCAAATGCTCATCCTAGTATACATATATATTAAACTTTTCTATGCATATATAACACTTAAGAAACACTTCCATATACAGTCGGCCCTCCACATTCACAGGGGGTTAGGGATGCAGGACCTCTACATAAGTGGAAAAACTGCAAATATCTCTAACCCCCCCACCAAAAAAACCTTAATCCTGCTGACCATATGTATACTGAACTGCTTCTCCTGCTCTGGTCCAGCAGGGCTCTTCTTCATTTAGTACATTCTTATGTTGTTATTTCCCTTTCACTCATCAGTGCCTCCTCTTTGTGCCAAGGAAATGCCATTGGGATTTACATCTCCAGCTGGTCCGGGCAAGAAGGCATACTTTAGAGACCCTCCCTCTCTCTCCTTTTGCTTCCTCTCTCTCTATGGTGATGATTTTCTGCAGTAGACTGTGGAAACAAGTTCACATGCATAACTACAAACCATTTGTCTTTTAACTCAATTTTTAAATTAGTAGGCTTTATGGCAGTTTGTTCATAAGTATAGATGCTCATAACTCCGTTGTTCATAACCCAGGGACTGCCTCTATATGTTTCCAAACCTAATTCAAGGTGGTGTATTTAACCTAACAAGTCCTAAATAGCTAGGGACCATAATACCTGATGGAACCTCTCGCCAAGCGGCAATCTACCTAAACACTAAGACCAAGATGTGGGGCCTGCCTCCAGATGGCACCTCCAAGGGAGGTTCCATCAGTAGCAACAAGGAGAAGGCACTTTTCAATGGTGGCACCCTAGTTTTTGAACAAGCTCCCCACTGAGGACTACCTGGTGCCAACATTACTATCCTTTCAGCACCAGGTTAAGACTGCCTTCTACCACAGAGCATTGAATTAGTTTACCAGGGGCTTTGTTAGCTGCTTAAACAGTCTTATGATTTAATTTATATATGCTATTTTAACTTTTTATGTGTTTTTAATTTGGATTTAAATTGTTATATGGTAGTCTTTTTACTATGTTTAAATGTTTGCATTTTATATTATATTTTTATCTATTTTAATCTGTCCAAACAGCTTCAGCTATTGGACTGTACAGAAATTAATTGATTGATCTGTGGGCCAAACTAAAGTTAAATATAGCTTTGCATCTAATAGAAGATTTGTTTAAAACAGCCATAAGGGGACTCACTGAATCAAGACCATAGCACAGGGTGTGTATGTGTGGGGCATGTGTATGTGGGGTTATCTCAGTCCCTCATGTGACAATTCACCCACTCCAAATCCTGCCCCCACTACAGCTGCTGTTTTAGCAGCTTCCTTTCCACAGCAAATAGCAGCTGTAGTGGAGGGATTTTCATCAAGGACTGCAGCATGGGAGGGAGAAGAACTAGTCCCATACCCGCTGTGCAGTTCAGTGCAGGGTTTTCCCACAACTGCTATTTAAAACAAAACACGGAGAAGCAAATGCAAGGGAAAATTTAATACTGATGCCATGCAGGGTAGGGAATCAAACAACTCTTCTAATTTGAATCTAGTTCAGACTCAACTAGAACTGATGTCATTCCAGTTTGGTTCTTGTTCACACTCATAAAAGTTCAGAGACTTGGTCAGTGCTCATGGATCTGCAGGTTTAGTCCTAGTTCACATGGCAGAATTTAATAGCAAAGCACCTTATAATAGCTATTTGTGCAGAAGGGATGAACAAGCAAACACACATGAAGCTTACAACTTCAGTATCACTAATACAAAATATGAATCATGAAAACAGATTCCAATGAATGTTATTTATATTGTTGAACTGAATGGATACAGTTACATGTAAAGCAAATTGAGCAATTTTAAAGACCAAAATGAAAGGAGAAACCCAATTGCATATATTTAAGTTTGGAAATTCATGCCACCATGGAATGCAAATAATCATTGGGTTTGACAAACATTTGTATTTCTCAAAACATAGTAAAAGCTTTTCCAAATATTCAATATGGATTTTTACAAAGATCAAATCTAAACATAGTATTCTGTTTCCATATCCAAAAGCATTCAATTTATTCTAATTATTTACTTAACTATCTAGCTTTAAGTAACAAATTTCCTGCCTCATAAACTTCCATGTTATTGGGCTGATTTGCACGAAGCAAAACATCTTCCTTCTCAGTTTGCAAGTCATGATAGCTCACACAGTCAATTAACCTCCACTGTTTTTTTAACTCCTCTCCTAGCTAAGAATCTGCAAGAATAACCTTTTATAAGAGTGGTCCGAACCCCTACAGTGCAATTTCAATAATCATTGCCCAAGTATGCCTTGTCATCTCATGCAAGCCCAAGCAGAATGACCTGTCAAAGGGGAACCACCCTTCAGTAACTGTACAACAGCCCAGCAAATATCATGATTTATATAAGTCACCATGGCCATGCAAGCCCAGTCACAGACACTGAAGAAGAACAGTACATACAGTATGCACTACATAGAGGGGCCTGAAGGCCAAGCAATGGAAGAGACAAATATATCACACCACAAATTATTTAAATCTGTGCTCGCCAGTTATAAGATTCAGTCATTACAGATGTAACCTGATAGTAATAAACCAACAAAAATAAACAGCATGCATAAAACATATAATAAAGAACAAATAATTTCTGAAGTGAGACAGGCACTCCTACTGAGCCTATCTGATAGAATGAATTTGCAAATTTGACACTAACCCAGCAGCTTCAAACTTTGATTTTTTTATTATTATTTTTTTTGCTAAAATACAGCAAATTTCAAGTCTTTCCAGAGTATCCAAGGAGACTTGAGTACTCTGACCACCACCCCACAAACAGGTTTCAATTTTAAATACTCAACTTGTATCTATTATTTTACAAAGCAACAGAACATTTAAGCCTACAGAAGAGATATAAGGGCATAGCTGGCAATGACAGTGCAGTAAGTCAAAGGATATGTTAGGATATCCAGTAAAAAGTCATGTGGTTTGGTTCCATGATACTTGGTACCAAGTCAGAACCTGGGGATTTTTGTAGGTGTTATTTCCTGGACTTGCCTCCTAATTTGGTGTTTCCACTACTAAGTAAGCAGTTTCTATTTGCAAGCCCTGACATGCTTTTCAAATGAGGCCTCTGAGAACACCACCTTTCAGGACAGGCTGCAGATCTTTCATGATACATTTGAGAGGGTAAATTTAACTGGGGGTTGTACATAGCAACAAGTGGTGCAATGTAGATTTATTCTTCATTCCCTCAATTTTAAGAATACAAACAATCTTGCAGGTGTTTATACCTGTGATAAGAACTGGAGCAAATGCAATTGTAAATGCTAGAGCTTGACTGGAGACCATGGAGTGTTTTCTACATGGTACCAGGGACCATGGATTAAGTGAAGCGGACAGTTGTTTCCCAGAGGTGTCATTTATATACTTATTATATGCTTGTACTGTGATATCCAGAAAATGAACTTGTACAGATTGGGTAATGTTGCCAGTTGCTGAAATCCTGAAATAATGTCTCAAAGGCTTCTTTTTCATAGGTCTAGATGATTAAGCTATAAAATATGTATATCTGATAGAAGAGTCCATTTGTTCTAAATGATGCTCTGGAGCCATGAGAGTACCATAACAATCTGCAAATAAGAAATAATGCTGAAATACAACAAAGTCAAAACTGAACAGCCAGGAGTATCATGCCATCACCAAAACAAAACAAAACAAAACAAAACACCATTCTGAATGGCTTATAGCTCTCCTTACTAAGAAATATTAGCATATAGGGCTTCCACATTCAGGTAGCCAGGAATGTATTTTCTGGAGAACTTAACTTCTAGGAAGTCTACAGTATTCTGCAAATAGGAATGTGCATAGCAAGGGCCTAAATTTGGAATGCATATAGATCAACATTCCTACTGTGAGAATCTCATTGCCTAAGCAAACAGGGCATTTGGGAGTGGAACTTAAGACAACAGAACAGTCTTCCTTGCCCTCCAGATGTGTCGCACTAGAACTCACATAATCTCCAGTCAATGTGGAAAAGGACTATGCTGGCTGGAATGATGCACTTTATGGTCTAACACATCTGAAATGTACCAGTTCATAGGGTGGCCATAAGTTGGGGAGGACTTGATGCCATGTAATTACCACAAAAAACAACAAAAAAGGTACTATATTAGCAAGAAACACCCACACTGGGGAACATAACATGGGCTGATTTGCCTGTGTTAATTGCAGCTGATCATGAGGGTGCCAACACTGAAGTGGCACATACTTCTGAGGAAACAAGCACAAGGAAGACTGAAACAGTAGGTCCCTGGTCAAAGCTCCTATGCTGAGTGAGTACATTTTCACTTCTGGGCTGCTAGAGCAAATTTCTTTAGGAGGCTACAACACTTGGTCTCAATAGCATGCAAAGATAGCTGCCTCTAGAGTTGTGAAAAACTGCCTTAACCTCCCATTTGTAATCTAACATACTGACGATAAACACAGCACCTCCTTTGTCAGCCTCTTGGATTATGTCAGTGGTGTTTTTGAGGCTGTGGCTGGCATTATGTTCTGTGCTGCTGAGATTATGTAGTAAATTATGCTACTTGCCCACAATTCCAGCCTGAATGCAAAATACTAATTTGTAATCATTAAAGTTCACACTAGACATCTTGTACCTGAACAACACACAATTGTGACTTATGTGGAATGCTAGTAATCTCCCTACACAGCCTACCTTATTTTAACCAATATAAAGAT